CAAGTGTTATGTGCTTTACAACAACGTGAAAATCGTATTGTTCAAGGAAATGCTTGTCGTGATACACGTTTTCAGTCATTAATTGAATTACTTCAACCTGCATATATTCTTGGAAGAATTGAAGAAGATGATTTAAATGATATTAATCCTGATATTATATTAGAACATCCACCGCACGATTTACCAGTAGAATATGTTAAATAAACTTTTTTTCGTTAAATTATTTTCATTCAAACTATACATTTTGAATAAATAAATTCATATAAATGATTTTTATGCAATATCACAATGAGAATTAAAGTTATTATTGAAGATAAGTAATATATTGTAAAGTATGTTGAATTAAGCACAGAAATGAATAATTTAATTCATATGTTAATAATTTTATTAGTTTCGCGATCTCTATGATATTTTTCTTACTAGTAATCAACTGTTCATAAAAATGAAGATCTGGAGAAAAATTTCTAAGCAAATTAAAGTCTTACTGAATATGTTAAAATAGTTTAAATCTATTCTGGACTCTTTAGTTGATAAGATCAGGAAACTAGCAGTCTGAAAGGAGATCAGTCACTGTTTAGAGAAGATAAATAAGAAATCTAATTTTATTGTTTCAATTGTAAAAATGATTATAAAAAAGGATTGCCGTGACCCGGGATCGAACCAGGGACCTTCAGATCTTCAGTCTGACGCTCTCCCAACTGAGCTATCCCGGCGATACAGATCTATTTTTAGAAATAGTACAATCTGCCGTACACTTTCATTTCACAAGTAAATACAATTATACGCGTTTTCGTAGAGACACGAAAGATAGAAGTCTTTTTTCTCGATGTTATGTTCGATTGTTGCTGACTGAAATAATTAAATTTGTATAAAAACTAACTTTGAACATCTAAAATAACTTAGAGAGATCCTTTTCGAATTTTATGTTTGATGAATTAAAACTATTGCCTTTGTTTTATATTACTCAAATGAGAAGATATTGATGATTCTCATAAATAGTGTTAATTCATGTTAGTTTTTTTGAACGAAATAGATTGATCGTGTGAATGTAAGATATTCTAATTTTATTTTTAACGCTAAAATTAATTGTATATTTCACTTTTTGTTAAAGGATGAAACTGAACAAAATATAATTCACTTAATTAGCACAGTATTATCTTTCTAGATATGAAATGAATAGTTGTAATCTTTGGCTACAATACTATAACCCTTATAAAAATGAAAAGTAAACCTGTCTATCAGTGACATCTAAGCCGACGTATTTTCAAACGAATACTGTTACTACCAAGAAGCGTTTTATGAATCATTGAATCAAGTACAAGAAAAAGAAAAGTTCTATAAAAACAGAAAGGTTCGTCTTCGTTTTCGTTTTTCAGCTGTTTATTATCTTTTTTTAGGTTGCTTTATTTATAATCAACAATGATGATATTACATCGAATCTCTCTTCTTACTCGTTTTCATAGACGACTGATTATATCGACTCAAGCAATTCATATTGACTCTGATCCAAATGAAAAAATTATTCCCTTATCTAAGTTTGATTTAAGTAAACCATTAATTGGACGAACTAATGGTATGTATGAGAAGTTCATTGTTTGTAAAACTATATCTCGAGTTTTTAGCTGAACAAACTGCTATTTCATTACTTAGTCCCGATATGCCTGCTGATGCTGAACTTCTCAAAGTAGCTATTATTGGAACACCCAATGCTGGTAAAAGTACATTTGTAAATCGCCTCATGGGTTGGAGAGTAAGTTTAATTGTGCCATCGAAATATAAATAAAAGATGATTTTGTTTTTCAAAATTTAGATTTCATCTGTATCTAAACGACCACATACAACTCGACATCGAACTACAGGAGTTTTAACTGATGCAAATAAACAAATTGTAAGAATTATTTTTAATTTAATCAATTCTATCTTTTCAATACAATAGGTTTTTCTTGATACACCTGGTTTTGTTGCACCATGGCGAAAAAAACGGTATATCCTACAAGTCAATTTCCAATGATTATTATCTATAAAAGTTGTTCTATCTTCAGACATAACCTTGAAAAATCTATGATTCTCGATCCTCATTCATGTCTATGGGATGCTAATCTAAGTATAAAACTAAATTCTTATTTTTATTTTATTAAAATTTTTTTTTCCTATAAAGTTTGTGTGGTACATGATGTTTCAAATCATTGGTTACGTTTTAAACTTGATGAAGAAATACTAAAATGTCTTTATGCACATCCTGATAAAGAAGCTATTCTTATTCTTAATAAAGTAATTTACATGATAACCTTTAATTTAAACAAATAGTTCGAATATTTATTTTTTTTCTCAAGGTTGATTCTGTAAAACGTAAACGAATGTTACTAGATGTAACAACTGTACTTACGGACGGTTCACTTAATGGAATTCCTTATCGTCTTGATTCACCATATCATCGTAATGGTGAACTTGATATGGAACGTTTATTTCTAAAAACAGCTCATGAAATGAATATTCCATTACCAAAAAGTGAAAATGATTTGAAGAAAGAAGATCTATTAGCTGATATGAAAGAATATGAGAAAAAATTACTAAATATTCAATTAGAAAATGTTAATCTTGATTTAGAAGAAAATCAAATTAAAGAATTAATATCTCAACATGAAGAAAAAGGATTAACATTAGAAAATCTTTCCGATGATGTACCTTCTCATACTCCATATAAATCAATAAAAGATATTAGTCCAATAGAATTCAAAAAAGATTTAATGGAAACAACAAATTGGCATTTATATTATAAAAAATTATCTCAAATTCGTTTGTTTACACAAGATCGTTCAACATGGCCGTATTTCAATCAAGTATTTATGATTTCAGCGAAACAAAATCGTGGTATAGCTGCTGTTCGAGTTAGTTCGACTAATTTAAATCAACTACTGAATTAATTTAGTTTTATTTTTTCTTCTAGAAATATCTTTTCTCACGAACAAAAGCAGCTCCGTGGATGTTTCATCGAAATTTTGTGACTGATCAATATCCACAAGAAATAGCAGAATTATGTATACGTGAAAAGATGTTAGAATATTTGCCGGAAGAAATTCCATATAGTTATCTGATGGTAATTTTAAAATTAATATCTGAGAAGGTTTTTAAATCTTTATTCTAGACAAATGAACGATGGGAATTAGATGAGAATGATATTCTTAATATGACATTTCTAGTTTATCCTCGTGCTAAACAATTGAAACGTGATGTTGTATGTAGAATTATGTTTTTCTTTTAATTATTGAATAAATTCTTGTTTTTTAGAGTGTATTATTAAAAAATCATGGTGAAGCAATAAAATTAATTAGTACGGAAGCTGAAAAATCGCTTTCCACAACATTTCGTTGTGAAGTTAAATTGAAATTAATTGTTAAAACTACTCATGAATAAATTTCAATCTGTTACAAAAAATGTAAATGAATATGTTCATTTGTATTTTGTTTTCTATGTTTTAGATGGCTGAAAAAGATATTGATATTTATTATAAAACTATTCTTGATCTTGTATCACTTGCTGGCAAAGTATGTTTATTTGATGAGAGATAAAATTGAAAAAGAAAATTTTTTTTTCAGGTTGTATGTGAAGGTTTTTCGATAACAAAACGTGTTGAAACAAAGGAGAGTACAGCTGATCTTGTTACAGAATTTGATCAACGTGTAGAAGAAATTTTAATAAAAAAATTGCAAGAAAAATTTCCAACACATAAGTTCGTAAAAATTGAATAAAATAAATTTTTATTAAAATTTAATTTAGATTTATTGGTGAAGAATCAACTGCTAGTGGAATTAAAACAACCTTAAGTGACGATCCAACATGGATCATTGATCCAATTGATGGTACAACTAATTTTGTACATGGGTAATAAAATAAAATAATAATCATAACTTACGATTCTTTTATATTTTTAATTAGATTTCCATTTGTTGCTATTTCTGTTGCACTTGCAATTAATAAACAAGTTGTTCTTGGAGTAATCTATAATCCTGTTGTGGATTATCTCTACTCAGCTATACGTGGCAAAGGAGCATTTAAAAATGGTCGACCTATCAAATGTTCGAAACAAACTGGTATATAGAATTATTTTGTTCTTAAAAACTAAACAGCTGCCTTCTTTTTCTAAACATTTTTTTTAGTTAAAAAATAACCAAAGGTATATAGAGAATGAATGTTTAGTTTTACATTGATTTTATTTATTAAAATAATTAATTTTCTATTCTTGTTATAGAACTTTCATTGTCACAAATAATTGGTGAATATGGTCCAACTCGAGACACTCATATTCTTGATATCAAATGTAAAAATTTACGAGTTATTATAGAAAAAGTTCATAGGTGAATATAGAAGAAAACATATGTAAATATTCATTAAAATTTTTATTTAGTATTCGTGCGATGGGTAGTGCAGCTTTGAATTTATGTTTAATAGCTGAAGGTTGTTGTGATGCTTATTTTGAATATGGAGTACATATTTGGGATTATGGTAAGAAAATATGAAATATGTTGTTTTTTGTTATCCGAAAATTTGTTCTTGAATAGCTGCCGGTGATTTAATAGCTCGAGAAGCTGGTGCTTACACATGTGATCCGTCAGGTACGATTTGATATAATTATTTATCATCTATATATTTTATTTTATTAGGTGCTCCATTAAATCTAGTTCATCGTCGTATTTTATGTGCTGCAACAAAAGAACTTGCTAAACAAATTTCACCATTACTAACTCATATTGATTATCCTCATGATTAAAATGAAAATTTTAAACAGAAATTAAATTAATTTTTATTTATTCTAGATGATAAAATCTTATTTTATTTTTATTTTCATCAGTATTATTATTGGCGTCAGTGTTAGTGTTGACAATGACAAATGCGCAAAGGCGTCACTTATTGACTGTAAAACGTGTATAGCCGTAGACCCCGGGTGTGTCTATTGTAAAAACAACAAACGATGTTTTGCACATGATATTATATCAACAGAATGGCCATGTAAAGCAAAGGACTTACAGATTAAAACATGTTTTGGTAATTTGAATAAAATCATTTTATATTGTATTATATATCGAATAATATGATATTTTAGCTGATGCTCAAACATTACTTATTATTTTTGGTTCAGTTGGTGGTGTTGTTTTAATTGCTATTATAGTTATTATAGTGTGCCTTTGTAAACGATGCAAACGACG